ATCAGCAGTGTGAAGCTTAATGTTCGCAATGATTTGTATAAGACCAGACATTGCACAAGCAGTGGGAGTGGTTAGTCGATACATGATGAATCCTGATAAAGAGAATTGGAATGTTGTAAAAAAGGTTCTAAGATACTTTCAAGGAACCTCAAATGTTGCATTATGTTATGGGGGATCTGATTTTAGTGTCAGTGGATATGTTGATTCTGATTATGTAGGTGATCGTGATAATAGCAAATCCACCACATGCTATGTGTTTGCACTTGCTGGCGAAACTGTAAGTTGGGTTTTAAAACTACAGTCAGTTATGGCTACTTCAACAATAGAAGCAGAATATGTAGCAACTACACAAGCTAGTAAAGAAGCGATGTGGTTGAAGATGATGCTGGAGGAACTCGGCCATGAACAAAAGAAGATATCTTTATTTTGTGACAGTCAGAGTGCTTTGCATTTGGCAAAAAATCCAACCTTTCATTCAAAAGACCAAACACATTCGAGTTCAGTACCACTTCGTTCGTGAGAAAGTGGAAGAAGGAACAGTGGATATGCAGAAAATTCACACCAAAGACAACCTAGCAGACTTTTTGACAAAAACAGTCAATACTGACAAATTCATTTGGTGTAGATCCTCTTGTGGTCTGATGGAGACGTAAGCAACATGAAGATGGCAAGATAGAAAGAATGGTGTGAAGATATGATTGATGCTCAATCAAATCTTCAAGTGGGAGATTGTTATTTTGTGACAGTCAGAGTGCTTTGCATTTGGCAAAAAATCCAACCTTTCATTCAAAAGACCAAACACATTCGAGTTCAGTACCACTTCGTTCGTGAGAAAGTGGAAGAAGGAACAGTGGATATGCAGAAAATTCACACCAAAGATAATCTAGCAAATTTTTTGACAAAAACAGTCAGTACTGACAAATTTATTTGGTGTCGATCCTCTTGTGGTCTGTCAGAGACGTAAAGCAACATAAAGATGGCAAGATAGAAAGAATAATGTGAAGATTCAAGATATGATTGATACTCAATCAAATCTTCAAGTGGGAGATTGTCAGGCAGCCGCACCTTTTGACAAGAGCCCCACCCACCTTTTTGACAATTGAAAAGAAAACAAAAGAGCGGGCCCTACAGCATAGTAAATTTATTATTATTTTATTACGCATAGTGTTTTTCAAAACACTATAAATAGGCTCCAAATCCTTAAGAAAAAATTTATCCCAGAAACAACTTCTTATATAGAAGAGTGAGAGAAATAATAGAGAGAGTTTCTCCTTGTAAAGAGAGATAGATTGTAACTCCAGAGTTTTCTCCTTATAGTAGATTCTTCTGTCCTTGCCCGTGGACGTAGGCAATTTTGTGCCGAGCCACATAAATCTGTGTGTCTATCATTTTATCTCTATTTTTGCTCTACTATTGCTGCGGGCCCTGCTCTATTGGGCTCTGGGTTTGTCCCAACAGTGATCACATCAACTAAGTTGAAATTAGTACTAGCACATCTATAAGCTGTTAGGTGCAGAGAATATTGTAACTGCAGCAGTAATTGCAATTTCCCAAAACTCAGGTGTAAGCAATTGCAGTTACAACTGTTTATTTCACTATAAATGGAGAAATCAGAAGTTGCAATAGGAGCCAATTTGACTGCAACTAATTTTTGTAAAAGGTTACTCTTCTTTGGATGAAACAAAACTGTGCAAAACTCTTTTGCAAATTGCAGATGCAAACCAAAACAGTTTCTTCTAACTTTCACTAGGCCACCAGTTTCGATCTACTAAGTCATGGGTACATCTCAAATTCAAAAAGATTGCTTCCCCGCAACAAAAAATAGTTCGAATTCTACTATCTTTTCATCAAGAAACAATTAAATGCATTGAAACTAAAGTTACCTCTATCCATCACCAATGCCTTCTATATGTTTGTAAAATGATCCCAAAGAAAATTTCGCTAGCCACTTCTCAAAATAACTTGTTTTGCACAGAATTCGCCTCAAATCAGTACATTCTCCTAGCCCGACAAAAATTAACGACTACAAAAGAAATTTTTTTAAAAAAAGATAGATGGAACCTTGGAATTAAGGGGCTGTTTGGTTGCACACTTTTTGAGAAAATTTTTCTCAAAACATCTGACAATGGCAAATTTGTAATTAAAAATTTTCTAGAGATTTCTGTAAATTGTGTTTGGTTCAACAAAAAATTTACAGAAATATTTTCTATAAAATATCAAAACCTACCAAATTTTACAAAAAGCAATTTCCTCTCAAAATGAGAGGAAATCACCAGAAATCTGACACATACCATATTTAATTAAAAACCTACCAAATCTTGTTATTTTCTATAAAGTTATGAGTTATTTTCTTGTTTTGAACCAAACAAGCAAATTAAAAAAAACAAGAAAATTGGTACTTTTTTATTTCTCAAAACTTTTCATATAATTTTTTTAAGAAATACAAGGAAATCATATTTTAGGTGGAAAACATTTCCTATAATTTCTAGAAATTGAACCAAACACCCCTAGATTCTCTTTGGAGATGATATGAGCTCCAAACCCGAAATTGTAATAATAAAATATTATACAATCTAAAAAATGCGCAAAAAAGGAAATTATGAGGGGCTTGCCTGGATAAGTGGATATTGGTGGCTTGGATTTGGGATTCGGAAGACAAGTTGGAGAATGAGTGGTAATAAGGGTTTCTTCGAGGGGTTTTGCGCAAAAGATGCTTGGCGAGCTGCTGCCGACTGCTATCGCCGTTTCCCTCGCGCGATCAGGAAGCGGGGGATGAGAATGTTCAGAGAGCGGGTAGCGGGTGTGCTTGCGGATCCGATTGCAAAACCCGACCGTAATGCTATTTTGGGTATATTGCACATGATCCCCTATCATCTGCAGCTATAGTTGCAGTTAACAACCCTCTGCTGTAACACATAATACTTCTAAATTATAATTTTCAGAAAGATAAATTGAAGGTATCATTCACTCCTATTAATCGAAAACAGATAACTATTATAAATAAGTTGAGCAGTGTCACGTACAGCTGAAGATTTTAGATGAGAAAAATTCTCACAAATTTATCATGAATGTTCTGCACAAAATTAGCACAAACTATTTTGCGTAAAATATATTTACTAGAAAAGTACCAGAAATTCAAAAATTATAAAAGATTACCATATATTGTCATAAAATTACATTAACAACGTGAAAGACCTTGTGAAAAAAATTTAAAATAGCCGTAATAGTAAGAAGAGCACAAGGGACTAGGAAGTAGCTAAATAGACTTACAAATAAAGATAAAATAATCAAAACATGTAACATGCATGTAATACAATATGTCATGAAATTTACAAAGTATAATCACCGCAGTTTCTTTTGCTTAATTCCACTTTGGAATCCCATCTATTGTTAACTTTGATGTCCCTTTATTATTTTATTTTTAATTTTTTTTTTGCTCATTTGACATCTGGATGCTTTAGAAAATTGATACTTTGATATTTTTCATTTGTAAATTGTTATTTTTCTGTTAAATTAAAATCATATGCTATTTACATACAATCTGATTTGGAATTACCTCTTAGTTATTTTACATTTCCTTGATATGAATGGGAATTTTCTCATACATATTGTTTTGAGTATTCATAGTAAATTTCTCACTAATTCAAAGCCATTTTATAATAGTCGCAATAGCAAAAAGTTCAAATTAGATGCGAATATGATCTAAATTTATTACAAAGATAATAATATCCATGGGTGCAGACATTCAATTTTGAAACATCATGGGTATCAAAATGGGTAAAAATGGACTTCAGGGTATCAAAGTTCACCATTGACGAAAGTTTAGGGGATGTTTGTTTAGTTGTAAGTGAAAATTGTAAGTATGAAAATCACTTATTTTTAAGATTTCACTTGTTTGTTTTATTAAAAGTGATAGTGAAAGTGAGATAAAAAAAATAGTCCACATTAGATTTTTTGCAAGTTCAACATCCCCTAAAAAAGTGCAGAAATGAGCCATGAAAGGGAAACATAGGAACCACATTATATTAAAAATATTATAATAACTAATATATCAGATTTGTTTCATCTTCAACATTATATAAAAATATTATAATAACCAATATATTAGTTTTGTTTCACATTTGTCAAGAACCCTCTATGTACAGAGATTTACTTAGGAAAGTGCATATGCATAGAATATTTTATGGCGGGAATACAACATGCATATATTTCCTTAGGATGGCTCCCGTTCATTTCTTTAGACTAGCAAGTATGTTTAGAGATAAACAATTATTAAAAGACACTATAAATTTATCCATTGAGGAACAGCTAGCAATGTTTCTTCACATTGTTAGACATAATGTAAAGAATAGGGTTATAAAGATTGAGTTCATACGATCAGGGGAGGCAATTAGTTGATATTTCAATTTTGTATTGCGTGATATTTGTGGTGTGAGAGATTTATTTGTACGACAACCAGGTTATGTAACGCTAGAAGAGATCACTTCCTCCTCAACTTGGTTCCCATGGTTCAAGGTAAATTATATTCTATGAAATATGAGAACTAAATATAAAATTATTTTATATGTTGAAATTGATACATTTTGTTAAATTAGATGTCGGTCCTGGATATGGTTAAAAATGGTAAATAGAGATGGGAAGTGATTTAAATAAAAACATGATTTTTTTAATATATAAATAAATAAAATAATGCTGTCACATCATCCTCATTTTTCTACTTTCAACAATAACTTGCTTTTGTAAACAAATAATTTATGTTATTTGTATGCTGACTTGAACGCGTTTTCCCACTTACAAAAAAAGTCATTTTTATACTTTCAACTCAGTTGCAAGTTTAACAAACACCCCCTTAGGGTAGCAAAGTGCAATTAAGGATTTTTTTCTTTAATTTACGGTATTTACCCACCAAAATATGTCAACACCCCTACTCTTCATTCCGTATTTACACACTGTATTTTTCTACCTTTTCTTCTTCGTGATTTCTCCTTTTAATAGGCCCTTGCTCATTCTGTTCAGAAACAAAAGGAAAAAAGGAAAACCCTAGGGTTTCAATCCTCGCTCGAGCTCAGAGAAATGGCGGAAGACGAAGAGGACTACGTCTTCTACGGCACTCCGATCGAGCGCGAGGAGGACACGTCAGCTCGCAAGCGAAAGGCCATCGCCGACGCTGGCCAGCTCCGCAGCCTCCCTTCTTGGAAACAAGAAGTAATTTAGTTCTTCAATTTAATTGCTTACTCTTTAATTCGATTTTGTATGAATTGGCTCCAAACCCTAATTGTTTCTGGGCTAATTATCATGTACTTATTTGGTAGATTGTTACTGAACTACGAACGAAAAGCAAATTACTTGAAAGGTGAAATCTATTTTCGATGTAGTTCTTCTCCATTTACTTGAATACGTACTGAACTAAGGTTTTGAAAATGCTTGAAAACGGAAAGTTAGGATTGAAAATCGTTGGGGGACAAGAAGTACTAAAGCTCAATTTGGTCTCTTACTTCCATAATTCCATTGTGCTCTAATGATCTCGAATCCCTAATTTTAGGTTAGTTGTAAAGGAAGAAAGAAATGATTTTAATTTTGTTCCCTTCGCCTCCGTATACTTGGTTATATTTCAGTTTATTATGTAAACGATCGTAAAATGTTTTGCAATGAAAGTTCAATTCCTTAGGGCAGGGATCCTTTTTGATGTATTTTTTTCCCTCTATTTCTGTAAATTGTACTCACTTCAGGTAAAAGATGCTCGAAAATGAATGGTTTAATTTGATGAAAAGAAGAAGTCATTAAAGTTAAATTGACTTTTTTTTACTTATTTGTTAAATTCTATTTACTCCTAATTAGTTCTATTTGTTAACTTTTAGGTTAATCGTCAAGCAAAACAAAAGATTTTTTCTTAAATTTATTCCTATCATCTCCATGATCTTTGTTGTTCAGTTTATTTTCTAAATGATTGGAAAATGATTTAAAATGAATATTCTGCTTGTCCTCAGGGGTGGATTTCATTTCAGCATAGTTTTTACTATTTTGATTTCATAATGAACTGAGGAGAAAAAGTTCTTGAAAATGAATGGTTTGGTTCCATGAAAATAAAAAGTAACTAACCTTAAATTGTTCTCTTACTCATTGTTTAATTTATTTCATTGTAATTGGGTTGAATCTCTTACTGGGTTTTTTAGGTTAACCATCACACAAAAAAGTTGAGTTTTTTTAGCTTTGTTGTCTAAATTGTTAATATTTAAATGATCAGAAAATGCTTAAACATAATAATTCAGTTCGTGTTAAAAGGGGTAAATTCATTCTTGATGCGGTTTTTCTTATTTTATTTGACAATGACTGAGCTGGGGATTTAAAATGCTTGAAAATGAAAAATTAGGTGAGAGATGAAGAAGGCCGTCGAAGATTTCACGGAGCATTTACTGGGGGATATTCTGCTGGCTACTACAATACTGCTGGGTCAAAAGAGGGTAAGTTTTGTTTGATTTGAATAGTTTTTGAAGAAAACTTGAAGGTTGACAGTGTTTTAATCGTACTGATAAATATTATCCAGGATGGACTCCTCAGACATTCACATCATCACGTAAAAATCGGGCAGAAATGAAAAAACAGAACATCTATAGCTTTTTGGATGATGAGGATGTAAAGGTTTGCTCTTTTTTTTGGTAGTTGCAAAATTAATTTAAGGTGATAACTGTAGTTAATTTGTATTCCTTGTTTTATTGTTATATTAAAACATAGGACATGGGCGGACATGCACTGGAGACATCCTCTCAATTTGATACCTTTGGATTTACTGCTGCAGAAGTTGCTCGTAAGGAAGCTGAGAAAGAACAGCAAAAGAGGTCCTAGACTCCTATCAAATTATGAAATCAGCGACCTTTTGTATCAAGACTAGTGTTTTATGACATATTGGCATTTGAGTTTCGCCTTTATACTATTGCATGGGGGTGATTTTTGATAAATTGTGCACTAGTTCTGATAGAATTATAGACAACCTGCCAGTAAATGTGCTTATGTGTCTAACTTACGCACATGGACACATTATATATGCGGGCGGGCAGGTGGAAAATTAATTGGGCAGACAAAGCTGCGGGTTCTTGCCTTCAGCATCCAGCACCCAGTCAGATGCCCTGATTGGCTCATGATTGACTTTGCTCTGTTAAGTAAGATCATGTATGGAGGACAATTTATTTGCAAAAATAAAATAAAATAAAATAAAATAAAGAAGAGAAGACTGCTGAATTATAACTAGGCACAGATAATCAAGAAGTTAGCAAGTTGGTCCTTTTTCTGCTGTTTAATTAGTTGTATTGCCAAATTGTTTCTACCATAAGTTAATCAAACACTTTACCTCCTCAACTCTGATTAATATATAAAGTTTTAAATATTTGACTTATGTCCCAATAGATTCATAAAATTTCATCTTTTCTTGAAATATCTCCAGGTTTTTTGAGCTTGTTCCTATTGTCGTTTTTGGCTAAATTTGACCAGATGAGATCTCTTAATTTAAACATATTGATCAAGATATTTCCATGGTAGAAAGATCATTGAAGTCCATTATCAAAAGCAGAATACTTTGGCTATTAGCCAAAATGACTATAATGAGGCAGATTTTCCTGGACTATTAGATTACTGTTTCAGTTGATGTATATATATCCGGGACTCCACTTTGGAGACTAGTTAATCACAATGAGATGACATGTCATAACTATTGTCAGCTAATTTCATCTTATGACCCAGAAGGAACAGCAGAGCTTGGATGGAGCCTGGTGGTATTATTGCTTGTGATAGGGTGGTTACATGTTCATGTCACTTTGACCTTATGAATAGTTTGTATTTGTATGTGTGCTCATGGATGGGTGCATGTGTATGTATGGATATATGCATGTGCGTCTTCACTCTCAGTCACTAATCGAGTTAACACCTCAAAAATCTATTTGCCATGTTAATTGAGTGTCATGGTTCCGGAGCGGGACAAATGAGTGAAAACTAAAATATTTAGGATCCAAACTTTGGAGTGATTGAGATCTGCGGAAAGGGATAAAAACAAAATCAGATATACCATAACTGGTAGAAGATCTATACTATCTGCCAACAATTATGTAGATCCAATCCAACTATATTGTATTAACCCCCCCCCCCCCCCCCCCAATTCTCCTTTCGTACTTTTTAAGTGAAACATCAGCTGTTAATTAACTAGCTCTGTTCTTTTCAAATTTACATAAACACTGATTCAAATTTACTTGTATACGTACTTCATCTTGGCTTTTCTCATTTGCAGACCATCGGCTATTCCTGGACCTGTTCCTGATGAAATACTTCTTCCTGCAGCAAGTTCTATTGGTCTCTCTCTAAACACATGCATGCATGCACCCACCCATCCACACACCCACACCTATGCATGAACACAAACACACAATTGCTGGAAGTCCATTTAAAAAAACTTCCATTAATGGCTATAATGTTCACTATATTTGTTTTCAATCGTTCTTTCTCATAGGCATCAAGTTGTTGGTCAAGATGGGATGGCGGCGTGGACATGCAATTAAGGAGACCCATGCAGATTCATTATATGGTATGCGTTATGTTGTCTGGTACTTCTGTTTTCTTTGATAGACCATAAAATTTACTGCTGATTACATCTGTATAAATACCATTTTTACCATGCTGCTTAATATTGTTTTCTGACCGAGTACTTTCTTTGTTGAATATTGATTGTTAGATTGCATACTATTACTAGACCATGTAAAGTTGCTTGATCCCATTGGTATACCAGGATGCCAAATTGCCAATTAATTTAGAATAAGTAAGATGCATAAGATTCATATGATCTTAGTGTTTATTCCGGATCACTGAGAAACAAAAGGATCAGAAGTTTTCCCAGATTCACATGTTATGAACATTTTATGGTGTAATGGAAAATTTTTAAAGGATGAACAGAGGGCAACACAGCTAGAGGTTTTCCATCAGAAGCATGGACATGGATACAAGACAAAAGTAAGATGTGATACGGGACATAGGTATGACATGGACTTGACATTGGAGTGCATATAACCAAGGTTTTAAATATCGGCCGATAATCCGATATTATCCCCGAGTTATCGGTTTTGAGAGCTTTCCGATAGGATAAGTTAGAATTTAAACCGGTTATCTTTTTTTAGGGTTTATCGGCGATAAAGATGATTATCAGCCGATATTAGCAACTCTAAAATCAGAATTATCGGGCCACACTATTAGGTTGTGATTTTGGGTAATGGACGGTTTTTGAGTGAACTTGAAACCCGACACGATTAAGTAGCCCTAATCCTCTGTTCTCTCTCCCCTCATTTGTGCGGTTGTGCCCACTGCCCTAATCCTCTGACTCTGTTTCTCTTTGGACTCCGTCGACCTTGACGCTCGCCTCCGCCAACTTCGACGCTCGCCTCCGCTCTTCTTCGGACTCCGTTGACCTCAACGCTATCAACTTCGACGCTGCTCTCTCATCAACATTAACTTCATCGACTTGACGACTTCGACTGATGTTGTGCTCTCTCCATCGACGTCATCATCAACTGATCTGATTGACTCGACGATGTTGAACGACGCTGAGCTCCCCATCGATGTCGAGCTCTCTCCATCGACGCCATCATCAACTGTGACTTCGAAAGTTTGACTTGGACTCTCCATTGACGCCACGCCCTCAACACAACTTCTGAAGTTGTAGTAACAAATAATATTCACCATTTAGTTGGTTTTTTCTCTAGTTATTTAGTGAAGGTTGAGAGAATGAAAGAGGGGAGTATGGTTAGATTACAATTTAGGGTATTATATTATATATACACAACATACGGTATATCACTCCGATAAATACTACTTATCCCCGATATATCCCCGATTTTCGCTATCCGATAAGGATTTTGGCCGTCCGATAAATCCCCGATAACCGATATTTAAAACCTTGCATATAACAATGAAGAGAGAGTTCATATATACATGCATACATATACAAGTATGTTTATTCAAAAATTTAAACAGCTGCAACAGTTGCATATATGCTAAGATGTTGACATATTAATTTTTTTGTGAATTTGCAAAAGGAGCAAGCTTTAGCTCAACTTATTCTACATTTTACAGTTGCTAGACATATTTAAGCGAATTATTTTTGTACAAGCCAATATTTTGATGGTTTTTTTTCATTAGATATAATCTTCCGATGTTTTAGGTAAAAGTAAATAAATATCTTAAACATGTTCTGATGAATAAATAAGTGTAGGAGATGTTGAGAAGTGTAGAAAATGTGTTCAGGGAGTGTCTACAAATGTCCTAGATAAAATTTACAATCTCCAACACATAAATAAGGAGCACCCAAGAAAGTATCAGTGGTCGATTCAAGTATTCATGTGTCCAACATAGATAAATATAAGTACCCATCTGTGATACCCCGACACGACAATTTTGGCGCCGTACCCGTGTCGGGTGCGGTTTGGGTACGTTTCCGCACCCAAACGGAGGGGACACGGGAGCAGCTCATTTCCCACGTGTCGGAGAAGCTCAGAGATCAAAGACGAGGTCGGGGAAGCTTCAACGAGGTCGGTGAAGCTTCGACGAGGTTGGGGAAGTGTCGACGAGGGTCGGGGAAGCTTCGAAGAGGAACATGGTTTCAGTAACGAGATATTCTCGTGGCGGCGTCAGGAGAGAAATGGGATCTAGGGTTTTCAGTTAAGTTGGGTTTGGGTTTGTTTATTTTCAGCACCCGTTTTGATTTTTTTTTTGAAATAGTTGGGCGGGCTTAGCTCTTTTTTGATGCTTATGTGGAATATAAAGTCAAAGAGTTTACTTTATAATTTTAAGGAATGAGCTTATTTCTCAATTTGAAATTAAACATAGTAAAATTGCTATAGTTAATATAATTGTTAATATATATATATATATATATATATATATAAATAAGTTAGGGTTAGGGTTAGATAATTAAAATGAAAATAATTATAATAAATAATTTCGAATAATTAAAAATTAAACTAATTATAAAATAATTATCTACAATAAAAAACGTACATGTTGTGTTAATACAACAATTGATACGAAATAGTTGAAATATACCCATATTGTATAATTAAACAAGAATAATTAATAATAAAAATATTTTTACTTAAATTTAAAATCAAATAATTATGGGATAATTATAAACACAGTAAAACGTACTAGTTATACTAATACGACAGATAATATGTAACAGTAAAAATAATACAATAAATTATACCAAAAATACGTAATTAATAATACTAAAATAATACGTAATATTACTGATAACATAACAAATTAAATCTAGAAAATTTTACTGCACGAAATAAATTTATAAATATCAAAATCATTTAAATAAATATATAATCAGATTTTTAAATCATAGAAAATTGTAGAAAATCGAGAAAAATACAAATACTCTTTTAAAAATCATAATTAAATATTTTAAAATACCAGAAAATTAATTTAACTAGTATCAAAATTCATGGTCCTTACACTTATAGTCTGCCTTCTACTGTAGTAGACGAGTATTGTAGCCACCGAGTACTGTAGCAGATGACACCTTTTTTGTCTGTCGGCATTGAAGAAGTCTGTCGATACTGTAGCATTTTGTCGGTAGTATAGCATGAGTGTACTGTAGCAGTCTACCTGACCGGGTACTGTAGCAGTCTCTTGGGAATTTGATGAACTATGGGTGGCTTGATTCCTTGAGAGAGAGGGTACGTAGGCAACAAAATCGGTGCAGCTGGATTTTTAAATGATGATTTTCTATTTCATTGTGGGCATTATAAGTCTGATATATGTTGGCATGAGCTTGTCTATGAAAATATGAGTATGTTGCTTGAGTTGGGCCTATTAGCCACTCAACAGAATATTGCTTGAGAGGAAACTATGAGAGTTACTCAACAGAATTGTTGCCTGAGATAGACCTACAAGTCACTCAGCAGATTGTTGTCTGAGTTAGGATTTTATATTACTCAGCAGATGGTTGCCTTGGTTAGGCCTATGAGCCACCTAGCAGAAATATGAGTTGAACAATGAGTTACTCTAATGGAAATTTATGTTTGGTTGTGAACCACTTAGTCACCTTTATGAGATAGGTCGTCGAAGGCCTATACTCCTTAACCTATACCGTTATGGGATGGGTTTCACGTTAGTGCTCTTTAGGAAGTTGTATTTCTTGAGTTGTTACAAGAAACTTGTTGCAAATTCATGATTTGTTGAGGT